CTTGCCCTTCATGTCTCTTCCCTGTTTAGCCAGCAGGTGTCGCTGGTCATCCTGTTCCCTCCTCTATCTTCATGCTGGATCCATGTGTGTTTAACCTACTCGCTGGGCTGCTGTTTGTGCCCCAATGGCTGTAACCCTACAGACATGGGTTTGAAGCTGACTCCAGACTAACCTCATCTGTTTAATTATTCATCTGGTTTTCTGTTCCCCTGCGTTTTGTTAAATTCTCTATCTTAGTTTTTCTCTCCTACGTTTGCCCTGCTTGTGTCCTGTTTGGTTTTGCTTGTATCTGTTCTTAGTCTTTCCAAGTGTATTCAGCCCTCTGTTATGTTCCATAGTTTCTAGAGCAGTGTTTGTGCTAGTTAATTAAAATCTACCCCACGTTTCCTGTGCTCCTTTTTGATTGGTTGACTTGATTAATGAGTTACACCTGTACTTCATTTGCTCTGATTCCCTGTATTTAAGCATTTGCTCTCACTCAGTCTGTTAGTCAGTCATTGTATCATGAGCCTCTGCTCATCTTATGTTCTCTTGCCCCTGGTGTCGCCTTCTTCCCTGAATTTATTTCCTTTTGATATTTTGTCGTTTAGTCCTGGTTAGTCCTGATTCCCTGGTTGTGTTATTTTACTCTCTTAGTTAGTTCTGTAGTTTTTCCCTCTTTGTTTTGACCCCTTCTGGTCCTTTTGGTTTCATCGTTTACCCCAGTGTGTTCACTCTCCCTGTCTTGGAGCCACAAAGCGGATTGTCACCTTTTCCTGCCTGTGCCATGACACTCTTTTCGTATTGCCTGAATTGTATGTGAATTCATATTGCGTTTTTCCATCGATGTGGAAAAATATTACACTTTAGAGGAATACATCTTTTTTTTTTAACCATAAAAATATAAAACTGTAATTTGTAAAAATGTATAAATTGTGTTGAATTGTGCTTTTCCTTCACAAAGTTTTATACTGCCACACTCAGCCTACCTACCTTCTACTTACTGCTTTTCATCAATCTATCAGTCAACCGTCACTTACAGTAGCATTTTAGTAATCAGTTTTTTTCTCTCCCAGTCAGCCTTTCCAGTTCCCCAGCTCTCCCCCCCTGCCAGCCCCTCCCCTCACACTGTGAATCCCCCCCCCTCCAGCCTTTACCTTCAGTTCCACCTGCACTCTGTCCCCTTTCTTTTCCAACGTGAGCTTCTCTGTCTGGCTCCTCCCCGACACGGAAAACTTTGCTTCCATTTTTGAGGGGGCCTGGGGGGGCCTGCTTATTGCAAGCTCAGACAGGGCCTCCAACGCTACGATGGTGTCCTTGGTAAAAAGGAGAGAGACAGTCACGCTAAGCCTGCCTGATATATCCTGTTTAAATGCTTTAAGTATTCAGATAAACATCGCATACTGATTTATGTCTGTGTTCCACCCTCACCTGTGTGGACCTGAACCCTCCGCCATAGTTCTCCTGCTTAGAAAGCCAGCAAGCGGCAGAATCCGCCCACTCCAGGTCCTTATTGGCCAAGGCGGCCAAAAGGGCGTAGCCAGTGGTTTCCACGGTGATGGCTTCTGGTGGGGGCACTTGGCGGTGGCGCTCCTCGTTCTGTAATCGAGTATCAGATTTGGAGTGCCATACTCTGCATTCCTCCTCTACGTTATAAAAGAGAGGAATCGAGAGAAGCCGTAATGTACAATATATCAAGCTATACTACATAGCTACACACATGTTCTACATTTGCATGTTACTCACTTAACATTTACTAGAAATGCACTCAATATTCTTTGTTAACAAATACATTTTCATTATGTTCACCATTTGAGTACCTTTATTAGCAAGAAAATGTCATGCCTTTGATTTATCAAAGTAGCCTCCTCTAGCAGTTATAACAGCAGAGAAAATATGAGGTACTCTTTCTACAAGGGACATTAAATACTGCTGTTTTGTGGGATGAAACACTTATCTAGTGCATCTAAAGTTAAAGTACAGCCTAGAATTTGTCTAAGCCATCACCACACAACTTGTTAACGGGATGTCAGACATGCACTGTTACATACTTTTTCCATGTTATAAAGGAAACTTGTTATATCTCACTTGAATATTCATTTATAGTTGTTCACCCAATTTTCCAGCTTAAAAAGAATAAATAATCTGCAGTTCATGAAAGAAATGGAAAAGTAGTAAAAACCTGTGATGTGCAAATTCTTTTGACTGGTCGTGTTCATCAAGCTTAATGACACTTAATAAAAGGAATTACTAGCATGCAACTTACTGACAGTAACTTTTGAACACCAACTCTCTACTGCCCTCTACTGTAA